GCAATAATCTTGGACGCGACGTTAAACCCAATTTCACCTCACCTCACCTATATTGCAATAATCAACCTAGCTTACAGTTTGTATGGTGAGATCGGAAACAGCGCTGAGTGATGTAGTTGATAAGTTGAGTCATGCTCCTATTATATTACTCCATATTATTAATAGAACTTTCTTATATCTGATATCACAACGATAATGATATATCCTGCGCTAGCATCTCACCCAATCCTGCCTGGCATATTGCTTTCAATGACAATATATGCTTTATATAGTTTGACAGTACTGGTAGTAAAGATATTGTTTGATAGTACTGGTGGTAAATATATTGTTTGATAGTACTGGTAGTATATATATTGTTTGACAGACAGCGGCGTTACATCCAACTCACTCACTCACCTACTCCCGTGAAAATTAGTTTAAAGACTTGATCTTGTTTAAATACTAGAAAATGTACTTTTGAAAGAGTTGAAAGCAGTCCTTGACACAAGCTGGCCTGATGTCGTATAGTCTGTCGCCATAGGCCCTAAGCATGCGAGTGCCCCAAGGAACTCCAGTCTATTTCTCATTCATGTTAACACAACTAATCAGGACAACTTCAATCATGCTCTCTGATCATGAATGAGTTTTTCCTTGAGGTGTCCATGTCTCACCTCGCCTTTTGTGTTTCAGCTGTGCAGTCACATGTACAATGGAATAAACAACACATAGAAACACAATAACCAATAAACAAGCGCGGAGGAGCTCTAGCTGTACGGTGCTATTACATGTGTGTACATGATCACAGAGATCCTACTGATAGCCCCAGACTGAGACGTATATAAGAAATACAGAACGTTTCAGTTTGTATTTGCTTGTCAAATAACACGTTTACCTTATTGAATCACCTGACAAAGACGTTTTTTCATGAGTGAGATAAACATGTTACTTGGTAAGAAGAGACAGGTAACGACGTCAATTTTTATAACGCGGAAAATTGTAATGAAGTGTAACAACAATTTTTCTATTTATAATATATTTACTTAATTATCTTCATTATCTTATTCTGAAAACAAAAATGTCATTGAGACAGATATAAGTGTTCTTTCTTTCCCCTGAGATATAAATTTTATATTTCTTATAATTACAGTATTTCATCTCTAAATACTAGTACCAATAAATGTGTCATATTTATATTATCGATATCAAATGGAACTAACGAAATAACATGACATAATATATAAACAGTGTCTGATTAAATGAATACACAAACAGTAGAGACATTTCAACTGCTTGTAAGTGAGTTAGTTGGGTTTAACGCCGCTTTTAACAGTATTGCAGTTATATTACGGCGTGTCTGCTTTATGTGGGAGGAAAGCCCGAAGTCAGACGTTCACCACTTTGGTCAAACCCACGAGCACGGATATGGTGCTGACAAACCTAGAAACATAATCGGGGCGAACCGGGATTCGAACCCACAATCATAGGTTTCTGGCCTGCCAAGGAACGCAATTCTGCACAGCGAATCGCGGCGCCTTAGACGACTGGGCCCCCCTGCCCCCAACTGCTTGTAAGAATAGTATACAAGTGATGAGGGATTAATTACAAAAGGGTGGAATATATATGATAACATTATCTAGAGTGACTGGGTATAGCATCATCATGGTATATATCCCATAGTATACACCACTACATTAAATAGAACCATACCGTACACCACCACATAAAATATACCATACCATACACCACCACATAAAATAAACCATATTGTACACCACCAAGTTAAGTATACCATACTGTACACCACCATGTTAAATGTTCCCGCACCAGCATGTAAAGTATACCATACTCTCCAGTCTAACTCTCCAGCAACCCAAACTTGCCGTTAAAGGCGACTATGCTTGTAAGAGGCGACTTATGGGATCGGGAGATCAGGCTCCCGACTTGGGTGATGCATGTCATCGTATCCCAATTGTGTAGATCGATGTTCATGATGTCAGTCACTGGATTGTCTTGTCCAGACTCGATTATTTACAGATCGCCGTCATATAGCTGGAATATTGCTGAATGTGGCGTTTAACATCAAACAAACACCACCATGATAAATGTCCCATGCTGTACACCACAATGTTAAATGTCCCATACTGTACACCGCCATGTTAAATGTCCCATGCTGTACACCGCCATGTTAAATGTCCCATACTGTACACAACCATTTTAAATGTCCCATACTGTACACCACCATGTTAAATGTCCCATACTGTACACCACCATGTTAAATGTCCCATACTGTACACCACCATGTTAAATGTTCCATACTGTACACCACCATGTTAAATGTCCCATACTGTACACCACCATGTTAAATGTCCCATACTGTACACCACCATGTTAAATGTCCCATACTGTACACCACCATGTTAAATGTCCCATACTGTACACCACCATGTTAAATGTCCCATACTGTACACCACCATGTTAAATGTCCCATACTGTACACCACCATGTTAAATGTCCCATACTGTACACCACCATTTTAAATGTTCCATACTGTACACCGCAATGTTAAATGTCCAATACTGTACACTGCCATGTTAAATGTTACATACTGTACACCACAATGTTAAATGTCCCATACTGTACACCACCATGTTAAATGTCCCATACTGTACACCACCATGTTAAATGTCCCATACTGTACACCACCATGTTAAATGTCCCATACTGTACACCACCATGTTAAATGTCCCATGCTGTACACCGCCATTTTAAATGTCCCATACTGTACACCACCATGTTAAATGTCCCATGCTGTACACCGCCATTTTAAATGTCCCATACTGTACACCACCATGTTAAATGTCCCATGCTGTACACCACCATGTTAAATGTCCCATACTGTACACCACCATGTTAAATGTCCGATACTGTACACCACCATGTTAAATGTCCCATACTGTACACCGCCATGTTAAATGTCCCATACTGTACACCACCATGTTAAATGTCCCATACTGTACACCACCATGTTAAATGTCCCATACTGTACACCACCATGTTAAATGTCCCATACTGTACACCGCCATGTTAAATGTCACTCACTCAGCACCAAAATGGTTTATCCCTTTTCGCCATCATGCCACATATACCTCACTATACATCACTGTGTTAGACTTCCCATGCTGTACACCGCCTTGCTTTTTACCAGACACTGGTACCCAAACATGCAGCATAAACCAAACTGTACACCATCACGCTTTATAAATCACTGTGCACCATCACGCTTTATAAATCACTGTACACCAACACGCTTTATAAATCACTGTACACCACCACGCTTTATAAATCACTGTACACCACCACGCTTTATAAATCACTGTGCACCATCACGCTTTATAAATCACTGTACACCACCACGCTTTATAAATCACTGTACACCACCACGCTCTATAAATCACTGTACACCACCACGTTTTATAAATCACTGTACATCGTACCGCCATACTTTATAAATCACTGTACACCACCATGTTTTATAAATCACTGTACACCGCCATGCTTTATAAATCACTGTACACCACCACGTTTTATAATTCACTGTACACCGCCATGCTTTATAAATCACTGTACACCACCATGCTTTATAAATCACTGTACACCACCACGTTTTATAAATCACTGTACACCACCACGCTTTATAAATCCCAGTACACCACCACGCTTTATAAATCACTGTACACCACCGTGCCCCATACCGTACACTGTGCACGCAAACTTTACACCACCATGTCATATTCCTCATAATGCACACCACCACGTTGTATCAAGCACACTGTACACCACCATGTATCCCACACTGTACCATACCTGCTGAGCAGATCCCAGGAGACACAACCTCCATGGTGGTGCAGTAGAGACACATTAGCTTGAACTCTGGTGTCATAATGTAAAAATAGTCAGTGATAATATTATATACTGGGCATTGAAGCTAACAACTTTCACCCGCGGCGCATATACTCAGCAATATTCAATATATATGACGGCGGTCTGTAAATAATCGAGTCTGGACCAGACAATCCAGTGATTGACATCATGAGCATCAATCCACGCAATGGGGATACGATGACATGCATCAACCAAGTCAGCAAGCCTGACCACCCGATCCCGTTAGTCGCCTCTTACGTATACGACAAGCATAGTCGCCTTTTACGGCAAGCATGGGTTGCTGAAGACAACTATTCTACCCCGGATCTCCACGCATTTGGGATACGATGACATGTATCAACCAAGTCAGCGAGCCTGTCAGTCAGTAGTATGTTACCGAAATTTCTGTAATGTTCTATGTTATGAGAGCACTGTCTTGAACTTTCCATGGGCTAGGTAGTTTGTATATGAGGGGACTGTTGATTGTGTTATCTCTCACACATTTGGTCTCTCAAGCATTTTCATGACATCGGAACCAGCTTTTGTGTGAGGATCACTCATCATCCCTGATTCCCTGCCTAACCCATCTCGGAAGCTTGACCACTGTCGCCGCTGGGTGAATATATATTGTTATCACTGACTTTTGCTATCACCACTGTATTTTTGTATTTGATACTGACCAATGCACTCATATTATACACTGTCGGTGGATATTGTACTACCGCTCTATTGTGCACTGCCATTGTAATTGCTGTGCATTAATTTCTATTGATGTGTAAACTTAGTTAATTTTGTAAGACATTTCTTGATTGTATACCACTTGTTGGTTGTTTGTTGGTTTCACACTAGGCTCTTTTACGTACAGATTTCTGGGTTAACATATTGTTTCAGTTTGAGAATCGACACGTAACATAACGATACCAGTTACTTGTGCGTAATCCTTAGTGTAAGTACTAGTGGACATTGTGGAGTTTTTTAAAGCCAAACAAACGCTAAGGAAAGAAAGATCCAGAGACTAAACATTACAAGTGATGAGTACGTCAAGTACAAAAGCACCGAATCCGAGAACCGTAATGTCTCTCCACCATCTGATAACTCACCTTGACCTTCTCTGACCAACCAGATAGGTACCGGAAGTGGGGCCACCATTATCTGTCTCCCTAGGGGTAACTATGTAGGGAAGTGTCAGTGGTTGCGTCATCAGTCTACAACCGTGTTTCGGCTGTCCCGTGTATGGTAATTACTATATCGTCATGGACGTATATATAAATGTGTCCTCAACCACCCTGCTCGTATGCTCCTCTGAATGGTACCTGTTATCACGGGTGAAGTGAATTCATCATAAGTTCATCACTATATTCATCATAAGAATGCGTGTAAGTATGCGTAAAGTGTATTCCTCCAAAGACCCGCAGTCTCATATCCTGACTGAAATCTTCACACGCTGGCTTGAAAGTTGAACGTCAACGGACGTTTCTGGCCAAGATACATCCACGAACTATAACTCTACCGCTCCTCAGGTGTGGTACATTCTTGAAGTATTATATCCACCAGGCGGTAACACTAGACAACTCCTTACCCCCAGCTCGCGTGTCCCCACCCCCGGGCGGTCCTCTGACATCCACCAACTGTATGATCCTGGTTGATGGGTAGATTGTATTGAGTTGTGCACGCTCGCTTTTATGCCACACTAAACAGGGTCTTCTTCGTGTTAACGCTCACTTTCAACTGTCTGAACTAGCTGCGTTAATGTACAGGTAAACATGCTACAAAACCCTCGGCCATTATTAGGGGGAACACACCATAGATCTCATGCCAAACTCCCATCAAGACTACGGACAAAACCTCGTGTCACATCTCCGCCTTGAACGCTGTTAAATCCACAATTATTCCATTTCAATGACGTATTCTAAAGAACATGTTCACAATTACATCACACAAAACGTCGGTCTAACAACATGTCATTTGAAAACACTAAAACTGTTTATCCTTCCAAGGAAATGTTGGCTTTGCTGTTCGAGGACACGGGTGCTTATATTGAAACTGTATAGTCTCTAACCCTCGAATCAGCTCAGTGTCCCGTAGCGTTCGCTTGGCAACACCTTGTGAAATGGCTTTAGATCAGTGGTGACACAAAAGACGCTCTAATAATTTGATATGAGCCTAGGTTCGTGAATGGTGATGAAGTGAACCGAAGTGTGCCGTGACAATTGCGAGGGTGTTTAATTATGTCGGTGAACACAAGGAACGTGGATCTACGCGTACATGTGAACAATGACAAGGCGTGATGGACCTCACAAATCTTAAGCTGCGTTCACTGGTTGGTGTCTCCACACAGCTGGAAATGGCCAGAATACTGCATACATGTATACTCCACCTGGAGACATGACACTGTGGTAATAACATGGCGTGAAAAGGTCAGGGTTCCATAGATACAATGCGAAATGGTCCACGTTTATTAGATGGAGGTGTTTTACGACCGCCTTGTGTCCCAAGGACATTGCACGGCGTTAGAGGGACCTCCGCTGGCACATGAACGTGATTGGCAAGACTCCTGTCCAGTGTAATGTGGACACAATAAGGTACATGTGACAAGGTGGGCAGGATTCTATTTACTAGGAGAGGAATGTGTTTACGGTGTTGGAATGTCAGTCTGTACGCGTCAGTCAAACATCTCATTGATCCAGTTAAACATTTTCCGCGAGTCAATCTAACATCACACTGCATGGTTGAGCTAAACATCAAACCGCCTGTGTCAATATAGCACCTAACTGCATGAATCAATCAAACATCATTCTGCATTGGTGAGCTACACATCATACTGCATTGGTGAGCTACACATCATTCTGCATTGGTGAGCTACACCATTCTGCATTGGTGAGTTACGCATCATTCTGCATTGGTGAGTTACACATTCTGCATTGGTGAGTTACATTGGTGAGTTACGAATCATTCTGCATTGGTGAGCTGCATTGGTGAGTTACACATTCTGCATTGGTGAGCTGCATTGGTGAGTTACGAATCATTCTGCATTGGTGAGCTGCATTGGTGAGTTACTCATTCTGCATTGGTGAGTTATATTGGTGAGTTACGCATCATTCTGCATTGGTGAGCTGCATTGGTGAGTTACTCATTCTGCATTGGTGAGTTACATTGGTGAGTTACGCATCATTCTGCATTGGTGAGCCACACATCAAACGTCGTGAGTCAATTCAACATCACAAAATGTGCGGTTGATTATCAAAGCCTGAGTGAACCGAAGACAATCGAAATTTTTATCCACCAGCTTTGATTAGAGTCAAACTGTATCAGATTGAGGGCAGTGAAATAACAACATTAGACATAATGCAACGTCAGAAGGAAGAGAAAGCCTGCTTGAGAATGTTGCTCTTGTGCTTGTCTGTATAAACAGACTAGAGACAGATGCGACGCATTTACTAAAATAAACGTGTTCCTTTAGAGTAAGTGAGTGAGTGAGTGAGTGAGTGAGTATGGTTTTACCCCGCCTTTAGCAATATTCCAGCAATATCACGGAGGGGGACACCAGAAATGGGTTTCACACATTGTACCCATGTCGGGAATCGAACCCGGCTCTTCGGCGTGACGAGCGAACGCTTTAACCACTAGGCTACCCGACCGCCCCCTGTTCCTTTTGAAGTACAAACTATGATATCTGGTATAAATGTATATTTGAATACAGGTAGAATTGTTAAATACAACAAATGGAAGGTACTGAAACACAGAGGTGAGACACAGAGTTGTGGTATTTCAGTTACCATATTTGCATCACACTGCGAGAGTCAATCAAACATCAAAAAAGGTTCGTAAGCTAAACATCTAAGATCAAACAAGGTGAGTCAATCAAACATCACTCTTCTGTCGTGAGCTGAACCTCAAACCTCAAAATGAGTGAATCAATCAAACATCACACGACATTGGTTAGCTAAACAAATAACTGCACCCGTCAATCAAGATGAATCTGCGACAAGAAAGAAGACCAACTGGAGATGCACAAGCGTGATCAAAGATTCATTATTGATGTACGTTATGGTAGATTGACATTCGATATTTAAGTATCCTGGTTCATATCAGAATGCCTGTCAGTAGTAAATTAAATTGTAGGGATAAGTTATGTCATACCTTGGCAACACTGATTTTCCAAGCGAACGCGAGAACTGTCTGAATCAATCAAACATCGCCAAGAGTCTAGAGACAATGCATGTGTGAAAGGGTACATGTACGCCAGTTATATCACAGCCGGACGTGGTGCTCGTCGTAGACGTTTATAACAATCTCATTATTTTCGGATCTTTACTTCGACGCAATACCTCACTGCGTCCAAATCTGAGACACAGAGGGTCACGTCAGGTGAACTCTGAGCGACCTTTGACTGCCCAGTATATATATGAAGGATGTGTGCGTTCTTGGGCCAATCAGATGTCAGCTTTCTAAAACGGTTCGACATCATTTGTTTGACGCCTCGTCTCGGAAATGTCCATGGCGCTCAGAAACGACATGATGTAGTAACTATCCACACCAATATCATGGCGCCGCCTATTTTTTCTGATAAAGGAACCTGTCGTTTTAGTTCGTTTTCTAGATACAGAAATCATACATGATCAGTTTTAACGAAAATTGAGAAGCCTCGTCACTGAGTGGCTCATAAAAAAAGTTACCTAAAAAAAGATCATCTACGGAGGTGTCCTCAGATCTTCACGCAATGAGATATCGTGTGTCGGAGTAAAAGATAATAATAAGATTGAGTTTATAACCACTTCGGGGAAGTCTACGGGCACCAGCACGAGTATAGTGCTGACAAACCGAGAAACCTATGTAACCGGGATTCGAACCAACTCTGCACAGCGAATAGCGGCGCCTTAATCGACTGGGCCACCCGTGCCACCGCCAGGACGTGACGACATAGAGGCATGTTTGATTCACTACACAAGTAAAATCTAGGAGGTTATGTTAGTCTGACATGACTAGTTTGCCTACACTTGTCTTTCAGGGCAGCAACAGCCCAACCGGCAGATTTACCATCCATCAAGTGATTGTTACAACGTTAATAAAATGACACGTAGATTAGACACAAATTCTGTGGCTTTGAAATAATGACCCATTTCAGGACCAACGCATGGTGAATAATAATAACACCACCCCTCCCGTTTCCCACCCCCACCCCAACCCCCACCCCCACCCCAACAGCAACCATGGTGAAAGAGACACTGAACTAGATCATGTTACAACAAGCAGCTTATAAGTAAGGCGGAGACGGTGCCAGCGGAACGACTGTGTGAGTAGGGACACATTAACTGCCAATAAAACTCTAAGTGCACCGCTGTAATTTCATACGCGGAACCCTGAGGGTTGGGTAAGTGCAGGGGTGGGCAATATCCATCCCACCCAAAAGCATTGACGCGTAAATAAGACATAACTAAATCAATTGGTAATTTTTTCTCACCACAAAATAACAATTAATTGACTAAATGTGGATGTTAACGAGTACCAACATTTAAATAAATCATTTGGTGATTTTTTGTCAACAAAAATAACAACTAACTGACTGTTTTGCTTCAGGTGAAATTTATTTCCCGAATGTGAAGCATTTTTATATTTTAAGAAGACCTTTTTTCCCTTAAAAAATGTACAGCCCCTTTTTCTACAGAGCTGCATCCCGCTTGAATGTGGAATCAATATATAAACTACATACATTGGTTCAGTAGTTACACAACGCAGTATGTGCCCCCTCCCCCGACACCCAACCCTCCCCTTCCCCCTCCCCCAGTATCGTCATTGTAAGGGTGTATTGTGTCTGGGGACTGGGTAGGGTGATCTATTATGGATTTACGCTACGGTAGTCACGGCCCCGGGGACGTCACACGGAACACCTTTACAACACAATCACAGCACAGCGACGGATCCTAGAAACCTGCTTGTGTTGTTTCATAAACACGTCAACTCTCGCTTCGCCGCGCGAGATTGTTTGAGATACCAAGTTGTCCAGTGACAGATAATTTTTCTTATACCTAGGAAAGGTGACTTTCTTTTGAATTCGTATGACGTGACATATATAAATATATGTATGTAATGTAAACATAAACTGCCGGGTAAAAGAATGTTTACACCCATGGTGGGTGAAAATGAAACAAATAAGAAATTGCTAACGGGATCGGGTGGTCAGGCTCGCTGACTTGGTTGATATCAATCACTGGATTGTCTGGTGCAGACTCGATCCTTTACAGACCCCCGTCATATAGCTGGAATATTGCTGAGTGCGGCGTTAAACAACAAACAAACATCTAGATACAGCTACCGGCACCGTGACCTTGGGTTGTGTACTCAACTCACCTCAACTATACACTTATTGACTCACGCATCCAACCGAACGCAATTCAACTCAACGCCACTCAATTCGAATTTGTAATTTTACTTAGTACTGGTCGGCTCGGAGTCAGTATACTGTGTCTGGGGGTTCATGTTCAACTGCGGCATGGAATCTCAGTGGGTTAGCACTATTAAATCGGCATTAGTCCGGACTAGTAAAAAAAGCCACCACACATACACACGCACGCACGCACGCACGCACGCACGCACGCACGCACGCGCACACACACACGCATGTATGAGAGCAATAATCTTGAACGCGACGTTAAACCCCATTTCACCTGACCTGACCTGACCTGACCTGACCTGACCTGACCTGACCTGACCTGACCCGAACTGACCTGACAGTATGAACTGTACAAACATTGAGGTGTAAATATCATTGTCCTCCACTTGATGGCCTACCTCTTGTCTTGACACCCGGTGTTAAAGCTGCATCGATTCATCCGTTCTCGTCCCCTGTTACTGGTGTTCACAGATCACACCACCTTGTCCGGACACCTACATACACTAACCGTGTACACAACTAACTTATGCTGTCTTGCGTACTGTTTTGCTAACCTTGAAGCCAACCACAAGCTACCTTCACAACATTTCACGCAAAACACCAAGAACAAATAAACCAGACGTTTTAATGCCTCATAATGCTTTTTAGCATGCGTTGTGACCAGTATGTCTTTTCACACGATGCTTTGATCGGGAACACTTTGTGTAGAGCTCAGGACAATACTTTGGTGATTAGCTTTGCTCTATGTCGGCATGACACTGGACAGTTCCCGGTGGACATTTCAGTTCAAGGACATCATCATGTGCATTTGTTTTGTAGGTTTAATTCCGCTTTAAACAGTATTCCAGTTATATCGCGGCGTGTCAGCTTAATGTGGGAGGAAAGTCCGAAGTGATTCAGGTCTTAGACGTTTACCACTTTAGTGAAACCCACGAGCACGGGTATGGTGCTGACGAACCTAGAAACATAATCGGGGCGGACCGGGATTCGAACCCACAATCATAGGTTTCTGCCCAAACCGCGCAACTCTGCCAGCGAACTGCGGGGCCATCCGTGCCCCCATATTTGTTACTGACCTTCCCTATCAGGCC